TATTATTATTATTATTATTATTATTATTATTATTATTATTATTATTATTATTATTATTATTATTATTATTATTATTATTATTATTATTATTATTATTATTATTATTATTTTATTTTATTTTATTTTTATTATTATTATTATTATTATTATTTTATTTTATTTTATTTTTATTTATTCGTTGTTTTAACATTTTTTCTCTATCAGGTATATTAATCGATTATGATGAAGCATAGTCAATTAAGGAACTGACTACTTAAAAAAAAAACACAACTACATAAAAACATAAATCAACAATTTTTTTTCACAAAACAAATAATATACATAACTTGTAATTGATTTATACAAATCGGAATCAATACACAAATATCCAAAAACGAATTAGAAAATGAAATCGAGTAACCTTAATCGACTACGAAAATAGTCGATTAACACTTTAATCGACTATCAAATTATAGTCGGTTAATTTAATCGACTATGATGAAGAATAGTCGATTAAGGGTCCAGCATGCGTGAATTTCTCTACCCGTACCGTCATCCGCCCAATCTACCAAAAAACCCTAGATCTGCTCTCCATCGTCACCATTCCACCGCCACCACATCACACCATCACCATCCCACACACTGTACAAACAAAAAACCTTTAAAAAAAAAACAGAAAAGAAAATCGATCCACCCTTTTTTCGTTTTCAAACAAAAGTACCCACCACCACCTACACGGCGGCCTGAGGCGGTTTGCACCCACCTCCGCCCAAGGCCGCCGCTCAACACAACTAGCTTTCATCGAAAACTTGGGAGAGCCGCCATTATTCGAGTATTCGAAAAGCGGACCCACCACCACCACCGTCATCCTCTTCCTCAGCTCCAATGTCGTCGTGCATCATCTCCGATAAGAGTAAGGAGCTGCAATGTCTAGAGAAAAGAGAGAAAAAAAACAGAGAAATGAGAAGAAAGAAACGAGAAGAGAGATGGGATAAATGAAAAATGAGGTTAGGATTTTGGAAGAGTACATTGGACAATTAAGGGTAGACTTGGAATTATGAAAATAACATTTGGGAGGAATATTAGCTAAGGGGGTTTTCTCTAATTACTTTTGGGAGGAGATTTTCCTTAACTACATTTCCTAGATTTCGGGTCTTGCTAATTTTTCATCCCCATATTTTTATTTAAGATCTTATAATGAATAAAAATAGCTTGTAAGATCATTATCCAAACACTTGAAAAAATTAATTCTAAAAATAAGGCGTAACAGCTTACAAGCTCTTAAAATAACTTATCGAATGTTTTAATAAATTTAGCAAAATGAGCCCTAAGTTCAAATTCACATCCCTAATTTCTAAAAATATTGTCACACATAATTTTGAAGATCAATATCCCTTAAATCGTCCTCATCCATCAATTTTAAACGATTGCCTTTATCTTCATCTTCATCAATCGCAAAACCCAGTCAAAAACGTCTTGAATCGGCCTTGATCGCAAAAACAAAATGCAATAATCTATAGAAATTGAATTAGGGTGCGATATTGTGAGGATTGGTGAAGAAATTGAAGAGAAAAGTGTGAATTAGGGTGGGATATTGAAGAGATTTGTTCAAATCCAATTTTCAAAGTAGCTGGTTACATTTTTTTTCCATTTTTTTTTATGGACTAATATCGTAAATATTGTATCGCATCGTGATACGGCGATACGATATCTCACGATATTTAGCGATATTTATGAATAAGTGATATAGAACCCCAGTTGTATTGCTTTGATTGGAATCATGTCGTATCGCAATATATATCGCGTTATACCGCGAGATTAACTACCATGGTTTACACAATTAAAATAGAAAGACACCCCCAAATACTGATGATAAGTGAATCGAAATTTAAGAGCATCTACATTGCTAATTAAAAAAATAATCTAAAAATTCTAGGTGTCAAGTACCAAATGTTAATCTTAAAAAAAATTCTCTTTCTTATGTGGCAAGATTGAGATTTTCTACTGCAAAATCTTCTCCACTGCAACACGCAAGACTCAAAATGTTTTCTTAGTTGTAATTTATTATTAAGATTTAAATTTAATATTAAAACTATTAATTTAATTTATACAAACAAGCAATTTATATAAATCACGCGTTGGTTTCATTTGTTTTGTTTTAGGTCATAGGAATCACATGAATTTAATGTATTAAAGTTTGAGGAAAATTATCGTTAAATAAATTAAATAAATAACTAGGTTTTTTCCCCGTAAGTCTAATCCTCGAGAAACATATAACTCTAATAAAATAGTGTAGAAGAAGGTGGGATAAGATAGAGTTTATGAATTCCTCTCAAATCCTTTGTGACCTTTGTTCTCCATTACAATCTTTGTTCTCCTCTCACTCCATAGTTCGCCTCTCAAATAGTTGTAATGTCAGACATATGTTTATAAATATATTTTAGAGCAAAATAATTCATAAACAATCATTTGTTCTCCTTTGATGAGATATCAGACGTTGATTAGGGTTTATGCCTCCCGCATGTGGAATTAGAGATTTAGAGTAAGCTATGGTAATCCATTTATGGTTTGAAGATAATTGAATTTTCTTAATTTTTTTAATAAAAAATAAAAGAAAAATTGTATTAAATGATGAGTTGACACTTTTGAGATCCTCAAGATGACACTCCAATTTCAGAGTGTCATCTTAAGAATCTCTAAAATCACAAGTGACAGCTCATTGCCTCTCATCATTTAAAGATTTGCAAAGGAGATGGTTTTGGAACAAAAATCTTAAAATATCCTATGTGCCACTCTAAGTATTAGAGATTGAATTTAGAAAGAGAAAACAAACCAAAAAAAAACTATATAAATTTAACAATTTGAAACCAAAATGAAAAGAAAAAAAGTTATAAATTTAACAAAGATAAACCGAATGGGAATTTTTTTTTATACATAAATTTGACATAGAGAAATCGAAATGAAAACAAAAACTAAGAATTGTAGACATTGAGAGGAAACATGGGTGAGCCAAAGCCAAAAGAGGACAAAGCACAAGCTTGACCTTCCGAAAAAATCAATGTTTTAGGACCTCCAGTTTTTATAAATTGTTATGAAAATGTATGTCGCCAGAAATCGGGGGGGTCCTCCAAACCGTCCAAAAGATCTCTAGATATGTCCTAGAGGTCCTCATGGCCGGTCCGAGAATGGGAGCCATAAACCGGGGAGAAAAGGAAATTGGGTAGAGAACATGAGAGCTTCACGTGTAGACACCGGAAAAACCATAGCGGCACTATTGGACAGAAGAGGTATTGCAAATTGCGTTGTTAAAAGGTATAGTTTTTTCATATTAGTGTAAAAAATGTTAAAATAAAAAATGAAAAAAAAAAAAAAAAAAAAAAAAGACAAACGAGTTTTCCGAATGAAATAAAAAAGTAAGAAGAATGATAGATGCTAAAACAAAGATATTAATGCAAGATAAAAAATTATTAATGCAATTTGGATATTACTTGGTGCAGATTTCAAAATTCATGTGGAGGGGCGATTTTGATGTGAACTCTATGAAGGATGTGTAACAAAAGCTTAGTTGAGACTGTCATTTAGTTCTAGTAGGTTTTGTCACTTGGAAACCCGTCGACAAGGGAACAAGAACGAGCATTAATTTTGTTTAATTTCCAAATATGCCAAGCATGAACATACAAACACCTAGTGCACATATAACCAGTTTCTTCATTAAAAAAAAAAATGAAAATTATAAATTCCATGCTTCCCATAGTCACATTCAACTTGTGTCTTGTAATAACAAATTAAAAGCATGATGTCACTAGCATGATGTCACTGGAGAGAAAACATCGCACATCAACAAGGTCTCTACAAAAGGAACCGTACAGAAGTATTGCAATTTACAGAGAAGAAGTACAGAATAAGACGGATTACAAAATAAGCACGCAAATCTTCATCTTTCGTTTGTTGGCATAAGCTTTAATCCGTCCCACACACTGGCTCCTTTGCTTCTTGTGCTACAGCTCTGAATTTATTTAAAAAAAAAATTGTCTTTTAAATGTCAGTTTACTAGAATAAACGAGAAGTCAAAAGGACATAATGCAAGTAACACTCACAGTATAAGATCCTCGAGACCGGTCACCGCGTGATTTATTGCATGGATAGCCATCTTCTTTACCTGTTGCAATTAATCCAACAACACGAGCATTATTTAGTTAATCAATTTATCTTAACTACTCATCCGTGGCATTCAATTCAGATGCCGAGATAGCATACGAGTTCCATAACAGAAAAATCTACAAGCAACGTTGGCTGCACATAGAAAAGCAAATTTTCACTCCATCACAACTCGAGACCAAAAAATTTAATATCCGGTTTAAGCGTTACATTATGTGTCGAGGACGTATAAGGAGATGTAACAAAAATAATTATTCATCCAACCTGATTATTAGATCTTCAACGCTTAATTAGATACGCTCTTTGTAAGTACGTATGTAGGTCATGCACACACACTAGTTGACAATCTTCTTTTCGAATAAAAATCCAACCAACTTCCAATATTTTGTTTTTATGTTGGATAGGGACTGTGTGATTTTATTAGACGACTCAACTATATTACTTCACAAAATTCCATTAGTCAAAGCTCTAAAGTCAGCTTGTTCACACTGCTATATATCACTATTGACTTTATTTGTCATCTTCTATTCTCTAATTAGGCCTCGTTTGGTTGGGGAGATTAGCCATGATTAACTAAATAATTGGACTTTGTTTGATGTTTGGTATCCCTAATAAATTGTCAGGTCGTTATCATGGCTTATCTTGCCTTATCTCGTCTTTTAGGGAGTTTTTTAGTTGGACGTCCCAAAGTCCGATAAAATAATTGGGTTTTCATTAGATTATTTAATCTTATTTTGGCAACCAAACGAGGCCTAAGTTACTAGATGGCGCCAAATATAAGGAAATATAGTAATAATGTCATGATAGAAATTGTATGTCAATTACTCAGCCAACCGATTCAACTCTTGCAGATCCCAATCAACACCAAGCTGAGTTTAAAAGTTCAGCATTCAAAAGACTCAGCAGACCTTTTTAATCCATCTTCCAACAATCGAACTATGAAGTAAACAATACCAAAAAAAAATAAAAAAAAAATACCTCTAGTTTGTCTTCCTTAGCTCTGTGGTTCTGAGGAAGAATACGAAACTCCTCGGTCAAGCGGATGCACTCTCCAAGATTTTCAGGCGAAACAAAATCAAGAGCAACTTTTATGCAAGACTGCAAATTGCAACAAGAAGAAACCAAATACACACTTGTTAAGCCAAAGAATTACGAACTGTAATGAAGAATGTGAAAAATTACAGTTAACTGACAAAAGGGGGTTGCAAGGAAAACCATAGTACAAAAATACACATTCTTCGATAACTATTTAACAATTATACACACATATGGATCTGCACAGCTTATATAACTGCTCCCTTAACCTTTTTCAACTATTCTTTTGAGAGATTTTGGTTAAACTAAGCACCACCAGATAATATATTCTAGGAAAAGAAAGTAATCTAATCAAATCAAATCTTCAATTCCCAGCTTGGAAATAATTTCATGAATAATTGAGTCCCTCGACCAACACACGTGCTAATTAGCTATCTGGAAGCATATATGACATGCAGATAAGACCTCCTTCCAACTTCTCTTTCACAAATTGTCGGTCAATCTCAATATGCTTCGTCTATCATTTTATGATGAATGATGAGCAAAGGTTGTTACGGTGTACGTCACAGAAACATCCCACTTGCTTCTCGGGCGAGTTCTAGACATAATAATTCACATAGTGCAGTCGCTTTGAACTCAAATTGAACTCAAATTCAACACTTGATATGGCCACGATATACTATTTTTTACTTCTTCATGCAAACCACGAAATGTAGCAAAGTATATGGCAAGTCCTTTTAAGGGTGGATCTCTTGGAACATGTTTGAACCGACTGGTCACGCTTACCAAGTTAGCTATGTCGTATCAATTACGAGCAAGATAATTGAGTTTCCTATCAATTTGTGCTAATTCTCCCTATCAACAACTAGCTCTTCTTGTTCTTCCCCCAAATCCTTATATAGCTTGATTGATGTAGGTATCGATTTGCAACCCCATTTTATTGTTTCCTATCCTTCACATAATTTTGTTTGTGAGATAAAAATTACATTTTTTGTGTATGAAACTTTAATTCCAATACAATATTTTGCCGACGTAGCTTCAAATTTTCAGATTACCATTGTTTTAGATTCTCTTTCCCCTTTTCACCTTCTCATCATTTCTTGGGACAATGATATCAACAACATATACCAAAAGAGTTGTCGCCGCCTATAGCAAATCATTTGTAGCCAATTATTTGATCTCCTTGACTTTGTATCTTGTTGCCTTCATTACTTTAGCAAATCTTCCAAACTAGGCAATCGGAGATTGCTTTAGTGGATAAAAGTCATTCGTTCTTTGCACCTAAACGTACCTTCACCTTCAAAACTTGGTTGGATACTCCAATAAACTTATTTTTCAAGATCACCATGCAAGGAAAGAATTTTTATCATAGTGCTTAAGTTGCCAAGTTGCCGATTGAGATGGCGGAGATGAGCTAAAAATCATAAGACCCTTACAATATTCCTTTTTATTTCATTTTTACACTTAAAAAATGTCTCTTGACCATAAAAATATTCCTTACAATGTACTAGATCTTTTCTCAAGATATTTCATAGGTCTAAGGTTATGTTCGGAAATGTTTTCAAGGCAAATTTTCACCCATTTCGGGGTAATTTTGAAAATGAATCGAGAGTAATGAATGTTTTTAATGAGTTGTAGATTGAGAGAAGACAAATTTTAGTATATCACTTGTTAATGAAATGAATCATTTAATATTTATATCTCCAACATGCCTCTCACGTGCAGCCCATCGCGTAAAGGAATATTGCATTTTTAAACCATGCACAAATGATGGCTGTCAGATTCAAACACATGACCTTTCATTTGGTCTAGCTCTAATACCATGTTAACTGACCTTCCATTTTGTCCAGCTCTAATACCATGTTAAATGACCACCATACTTTTTCTTCTTGTTTTTCCATCCATTAAATGTACATGCGGTTGGAATCTTTGTTAAGGCCACGCAATTTTTACAATCTTGCTCGACGATTTGTCATTCAATTTCCAGCAACTCTCTTTTGTATGCCTTGCTTTTTTACAATAGTGCAACATAGTTTTTCCCTATCCACCAATTATTTTTGCTCTCAGAGAGGCTCCCAGACAGAGTTGCTCTCTTGTCATGAAAATGTGAATATACATATATCAAAAATCAAATACATATACTACGGGCATACCCGGGCAATAAAACAGAGTTCAAACCGTCAAAACATCACAGCAAATCATAGAACAAAACATAAAGGGGTTATAAAAAAATTGTCTCATGAAACACTAAGGGACTAGATGTCAAAGCACAGGCGCCCAAGCAAACAGTGAAACAAGAGACTAGATGTTGTTGAATCCAACCTAACATAATAAAACATGATTTTTTTTTTTCCTCAGTGACATAACCTTCGGGGTGGAAAAATAAATTCCAAGTCTAAACATAGCATACGAAGAATCAGCCCAAAGAAACATATCACCCATCAGCACAATGGAACTAGTCGAGTGCCACTCTATATTGGTCACGAGCAGAGGTTAGATGAGCCAACCCTAACCAACGGTCCAAAACACCTTTTTTCTTCATTGGGAATAGTTATTGATTCCCCAATACCCCTCCGCTTGACACAAAACCATAGGTCATAAGTGCAAGGTGCTTACCAACAGCCTCAACACACCTAACTCCCCTTCTCCCCAATTCCATCAAACCGTTCCTTGCCTTATGCGCCCGCTCCAGCCAGTGAGATGATTCAGAACATATAAAGGTTAAGTTACCCATTCCAGTAAAACCGACAGAGGTTAACATAGTCCAAAGTGGATATTTTTAAACAGTCCATTGCAATTAGTACCCATGTGTTATACTCTATGTAGCACGGACACGGAAACGGTGATACGGGAAAACGGACACGAGAAACTGCATATCACAAAAATGGGGATACGGGAGCTTGGGAGAGACGTGTAAATATTAAAATTATAAGGGTATATTTATAAATATGATATGTAAACATATATAAGTTTTTAGATAAATATATATAAAATGGACCATATGGTGTCCATCAGATGTCTTCAAGTGTCCGACACGAAACGTGTCCGAAACGCGGAAACATTAAGAAGTTGAAGTTTATGTGCTACATAGGTTATACTAAATTGCTAAAAACCTCTCAGTGTTATAAATATTAGCAAAAAACAACCATTCTTTTAAGCACACAACCCTCTACATTGTGCGTTTTTAAGGGTTTGCTAATAAAATTGAATCATAAGTGGTGTTCTGCTAATATGTAAAACACAGTTTTTTTGACAGTCAGAGTAAACATGGGTTCTAAATGCAATAAACCCCTTTTAAGCATAAATGTTCCATAGGGTTTTAACCAAAGAGGCTAAGGTCCAAACTTTTAGAACCCGAAGTCTAAGGTCACCCTTCATTTTAGGCTTACACTAGCATGTGTGGTAGCTCACTTTTTTGCGATCAAGGCCTAATTTTCTAGATTCTAAAGTTCGAGTATTATACTCCTTTGAATCTCTTCTACACGAATTAGAGATTGTCTTTTTCTAATAATGGTGTTTCCACACATACCGACAATGTCAATTCGACCAACTCTATTCTACACGAATTAGAGAGATTGCTTCTTCTAGTGGTGGTGGTTTCTCCCTCTCATGAATCTGAATTCTGACTTGGTCAAATTCAGGTTTAAGACCAGCAAGAAAACCACACCGACGATCATTTTCCACGAAAGTTTTGAGAACATGTTCTGGACATTTCATCTCAATAACCCTTTTGTAATCAAATTCTTACCACAAGTTTCAAAGCAGTTTGACATACCCGGTTACTTATTGATTCACCTTCGTCCTATAAGCTTGGGTATCATAAAAAGCCTTCAAATAAGCTCCCTGAACTGACTCCAATAGCACTTTTGTAGAAATCAAAGATTTTCAGGTTTCAAGAACCATAGCCACAACATAATCAGAGTCTGCTCCATCTCATGAACCAAAACATTTTCTTCGAGCTTAGGTCATGTTCCGAGAAGATGACCAAGTTTCCCTTTTTGTTTTTAAATAAGTTCAAACTTAACATTGTAGTTATTTTTTTTCCATTCAACCTATATATAGCACTAACGTTTTGCAGAGCACCAGTATACTCTTTCAAATTGATGGTTCACTGTTTCTCAGTGATTAGCAGTGAAGGCCAAGAGAGCAAGAAAGAAATACGAGTAACACGGCAGGGAAAAAGGAGGAAAATAAAAGGAAGAAAAAAGGAGCACATAGAAGAACCTAAAGCTATTTATCAAGATGCAAAGAAAAAGAACGATAAACCCCATTGTTTTTTTTCAAGTGTTGGTTCACCACTACATAACCTATTTATGAGGTAAAATAGAATACTAATCTAATCAAATCCTATGAGAAATTTATGCCAATATCACATAATGCATGAGATTACAACTCCTAACCACATTTATGAGTGCTTATTTCCTAATAATCAAATTACAGCAGGTACGATTCAACAGATTATTCCAAAAAATATTCCACGCATTAGATACTAACAGTAGATTAAGTGTGATAAAAAAAAATATTAAACATATACTTGCAAGTTGCAAGCCTTTCTTTTCAAGTGACAGATGTAATCTCATTATTATGATTCTATTTTGCAATCTTACGTTTTCATAGTGCCGTACCCAGTGCCCTGATTACATCCAGCTAACTGATGATAAGTTATCTTCATATGAAGTGATCCTATTTACCCAATTTCCAATCAAATTTGTCAAAGTCCACAATCCATTATAAAAAAATAAATTCTGTAGGTGATAGTATTCTGCATGAAACCATACAAGATACCCAAGCACGATCTATGAACATGCTAAGGTTAATCTGAAACGGGAAAGTATACCTTGCACAAGTGTACGATTCCAATTATTAAATTAAGAATGGCAACCCTAGATGATTAGGAGCTGATGATGGTTTCATTGCAAGTATTTGTTCATATAAAACCCAAATGCGCATTCAAGATAATAAAATACTGCGAGGACATGTTGAATGACCGAGATAAATTGGGATATTTTTAGGACAAATTGAAATTCGTAAGTGTTGATGTACCTTGAGATTTCGAACTTGATGAGGGCATCCTGCAGGAATGAAAACAGCCTCTCCAAGGTTTTGCACAAAAGTCCACGGTTCTACTCCTATATAAGTTTTGAAACAGAACGCAGTTAATAAAAAATAACAGAAAAATAACTACCTAGTAAAGCTCAAGAATAACAAACCAAATTCCTCTTTGAGCTTTGCTTTGTGATAAGAGGTCAAGTACAAGCTCTGATCATGAATCGGGTGAACAACCTGCAAAAGATACAAAATAGAGCATACAACTTAGTACAAGAGAATCTAAACAGTTTTATTTACCGACATTACACGTAAAATTTTATTAACATGGATCTAAAATTAAAAACAAGCAGCACTGCAATGCATGTTAGTCAGCATACAGAATTATTCTTTCCATACCTTTTTACGAGAAAAAGCATACATGTAATGTTTAAATTTTAATTGTGTATCTGGCACACGAGTTCCCAACCAACCAACGGCACAAAGTGATATTGATCGGATTCTTATATTTCAGGGTAATTACAGATACTACCCATGAGGTGACTCATTTGCAAAAAGAAAAGGCTAAGTTTGTAAATTAAAACTATCTCATCACGTTTATTTCTGTTTTACAAACTACACTAAATGAGATAGTGTTATAAAACAAATATAAACTTCACGGGTTATTTATAATAACTCAAAGGGTCTGCAATTCCAAATTTCAACTACGTTTTTTTGTAATCAGGCACCATTTGGCATTATCTTAAATTTTAACTCTACCTAGGCAACAAACGGAACGAGGAAACTACTTTCTAAGAGGTAGTACGAAGTAGAATAACCTGTTCGAACTGAACTGCATGCACCCCTATTACTAAATCAAGAAAATGAGAATCATAAGTTGGAACAAAGAGAAAAGGAAATGCTTGCTTCACCAAACAATAGCCTTTTGCACCAGCCTACATTTATTTTTTGGGCTTCAACCCCTCAACACAGGGATGACCCAAATTATGTAATGAGATTAATCATAAACATTGAAGTGCAGAAAATACAACTACCAACATTCAACTAAGACAGAGTAGAGAGAAAACTGGATGGCAGAAAAACAGAATAAACTTATACTTTACCACAAGTTTGGTCTTACCTGCTCTACTGGACAACCATAAATATGCCGGAATTCTTTATGGTGTTTCCTAAGATATTCCTCAAGCTTGGGTACATCTTGTCTTCGGAAGATGTCCCAAATGGCACCTCCCTGTATAAATGCAGACTCAGATTCTTGCATAGTGATCCCGGTCTCTTTGTCATCCGTATTGGCGTTACAGAAAAGTTCTCTCCGGTCCTGTTTAATATGATCTTTCTTTAACTTTTCAATCTTTGAAAACTGATGCTTCTTAGGATCCACATCAGCAGTGTGCATCAAAACATTCACCTGAAAAAATTCAATAAATCCAACAATCATATTAGCAAGGTTTGCAATTGCAAGTTATACGCTAAGAGTGTGTACATAGAACCCCAAATTTTAAATAATATTAAGAATCCAATAACCAGCAAATCAAAATTTCCAAGCAAATAATAAATAATTGTAACTTGAACAGTTAACTGAAATCTTCTGTAATTAGAGCTCAAGTTAAGTTATTTTGTAATTTTCAACAAATAATTTATATACTTAACAAAACTTACCGCATCTGACATATCACAATGAAGCTTGGTTACGGAATCCCCACGCCCAAGCTCTTCAGGAAATCCATAAGCTATATATGTTTTAGGCCCAAGGTCTGGCTTCAGCATTTCTACAGACGATTTTGTATTCTTCAAATTTAGAATTTCCTTCAGCTTTTCCGTAGACAATTTTGCAGCCAAATTTAGAATTCCTGAGCGTGGGTGTGTATATTCTTTGTAGGGCAAGGCACTGAGAAATTCTGCACCATGGCGTGGCAGTCGCTTCTCAAACAAGGTGGAAGGGGGCCAATCCTTCAATTTAAGCATTTCAGGCCATGAATTATAGTGTTTCCGGCCTTCAGTGTATCCCGTAAAAAATTGGTGAATGTTTATATCAACCTACAAATTCACATAAACACGAAAAAAATTATGTTATCGTTTTAAATAAGATTCCACTTATAGACGTACAAAAATGAAGGGAAACAAAAAAAATTATGGAATGAATCCAAGATATCAGTTGCAGTGAATTGTGGTAGTGAATTTAGGACCAAATTTAGGGCAAGAAATAATTTGGAGGCTCGTATCACAAATTCTACTTGGCGTCTTAAAAGTGCTCACCTCACAGGAGTCGAGGCAATCCAAAGCTGTCACCATCAAGTCGGAGGAACCCTTTTTAATTAAAATCTGACGGCATGCACGCCACATCACCATTGGGTCCCAGCTCAATCCAGATGTAAGTTTGAGAACATCTCTTACAACAATTGGCTCTCCCATTATCCAGTGTCTCCGAAAGTGCTCCAGTTTCCCTGGCTGTATGTCACTTGCTAGAGGACAGTATAAGTAATTGTCATCAGAATCTCCTCGATTGGCCGCCTTTCTCAATTGTTCATCCTCAACATTAACACCCTTATTTAATTCAAAACAAGGACATTGACTTTGACTATGAGATACCTCAGCAGATCCACACGAAAGAACTATTTTTTTAGCATTTTCCTTTAAATCCGACACCCAATTTTCACCAAAAATACACTTGAGCTCCAAATTTCCATGTCCACACCCACCCCTTTCCTTTGGTGGGCAAGGAATCTGACCTAATTCTGTTGCTTTCCACTCGGGCAATGGCAATTCTTCGCTGCTATTTGACTCACTGGGTGACACTCGAGTTAATTTCTTCTTTAACGATTCTTTTCCATGCAAGTAGTCAATTCCTTTATCTTCATACTTGATTACTACATCCCTATCACAGACTCTCAAACAGCCTTCTCGAATCTCCTTGCAGCAAGTCACACAGAGATCATACGAACAACTCGAACAGCTTCGATGGAAATCAACGATGGAGGTCCTGCAATTGTTGCTGTACAAAAAGATATCAAATCATTTAAACAAAGAAATGTTAAAGTTGGTAGGTAATAGTTCATCTAAATGCTTACCAATACAGACGCTCATCAATAGAGTAGTCAATTTTCTCTATCTTTACATCTGACAGCGACGATCCTGCATTAATGGAATTACAATAGTGGAGACTTATTTAATCTCAAAAGTAACGCGATAAAAATTTAAATGACACCAGTTACTAGGTTTCTTTTTTTTTCTCGGGGATTAGTTGATCTTGATTTTATCTACTTTACTTTCACATGTTTCCTCTTTTGGACATCAGTTATACTTATTCAGTCCTAAGAGACACTGGGTTTTTAATAAGCAGGCATATTTTGTTTATACAATAAATCAGCTATTGGTTGCAGCTTACCTGTTAATTCTAAACTAAAAGGAATTTTCAAAGCAATTAAAAGAAATTTTCCAAGTACCTAGTCAAGTTGCACAGCATAACTTTTAGTAGCTACTCGTCTAATAAAATCCTTGACAAATGTCAAGATACTACATGCAGACACTGACAGATAGAGTAAAACGTTCACAAAATTACCACGAATCTTGGCTTCCACGTCTTTTTCCGCACTCTGATTTTGACTAAATTCCTCGAGAAAAGGCAGGAGGTAACTAATGAGATACTTAAAGAACCATATCTTTTCCAAATTATTTTTCGGATCACCAGAATATAAATCCTGCAATAACCATCAGAAGATTGTTATGGAAAAACATAAAAAAGCAATTATGGACAATCACGTAGCAGGAAAACCATAAAAAAAAAATACCTTCGGTACATTAAATCTACGTAAACAGGCTTTACAGTTACAACTATTACGGCAACATGGGCAAGCCTTAACTATATCTTCCTCAGATAGTTCGGGATACCTATAAAGAGAGCACAGATAAGAAAAGTAAGGAAGCCTCCAACAAAACCAAGTAGATGTTTAATAACATTTATAACAGTAACTAAGCTTCCGAGCAATTTAATCCCACAAGACTGCTCGAAAACTCAAAAAAGGTATACTGAAAACTACTGTATCAGTAGTATGATCAGTCACCGCAAATCTATTGTCCAGTCAAAATCGTCATTATATAATAATCTTATTTTACGAAAGCATTTCGCATCTCCACAGCAAATCGACCCAACAATCACAAAGAGCAATTTTACAAACTATCATATAATTAAGTTAAGATGCATCCAGAATCAGAAAACCTAACCCAATATGAAGACAGACACAAACCAATGGAAATCGTAAGCAATTAATCATAATTTAGAGGAAGCAAAACACTTGTGCCAAATATCTTATGAGTTCTTAATTACAAGGGAAGACAAAACAGAGAGAGTATAAATGATTTATTGCAACGAGAAATCGAGTACGCGGAATAAATAGGTTTCGAAAATAAAGAAGCTACAACTTCGTTAATTTTGAATTGAAGTATAAAAACATGTACCATCTCTCAATGCAAGGGAAGCAGTAGCGTTTATGTTGATTTTTTTGGGCGCATTCGCTGCACCTCACCACTTTCCTATCACTCTTCATGCACTGATGACACATCTGGTACGCATCTTTCGGATCCTGGTCATTCATAATCCATTTTGATTGTCAACAGTAATCCTAGACAAATTTACATAACAAGGATAAACAAATTAACACGAGTATAAATAACAATTCATACATCACTGATATACTTTCTCTTGGTACAAGCTCTCCTTTCTTCCATTGTTTCTGGAGATCTTTTTTTCCTTAAATTCCGGTACTTCTTATGCTGCGAGCCGTTATCAGAATCTTGTTCATCTTTTTCGGCTTTAGTCTCTTTTGGTTTGTTATCTTTGCTCTTGCTCACTCGCGAAATAGCGCGTGTTTTATCCCGCGGTTCAATTTCTGAGTTATTAGCACAATCAATTTCTTCCTTGGTAATTTTCTCTGTCAACGAGTCCTTTTCATTTTTCAACGAGAAATCATCACCTTCGATTCCTTGTTCTTCATTTTTCACTGGCATTTGCTTCCCTTGTAATTCGGTGCCCTTTACCTCGAGCAAAGACCCAGCCTTTACATCTTCCATTGCCCCAAATTTCACATTGCTCTCTTCCATGGTTCGCCGGAACGCCTCTATAGCGGCCGGAACGGGGTTAGTGGAACCGGAACGGAGGCCACCGCGACAAAATTCCGGCAACAGCGGCTGGCGTTCTAAAATCTAAAATAAACGATTTATCGCCGGAATGGAAATATGTGCGGCTCTCGCGCACCGCGGCGGCGATTTATCGGACGGAACGGCTTCTGGCTGTGTTAGTGGTGTGAGTGTGTTCTTCGTGGCGGCGGAAATGGGTTAGGGCTGGTGACGCCGACTACAGAAGAGAGGGATCGTGTTTTGTTTCAAATTTTTGAAATTGCATTCGGTCCAACAATTTTATATTAGTTCTGATTTGGGCAGGGTCGGTCGATTGCAGGAATACAAATCTGATTAGGGTCACTTAATTTTTCAAATGTTTCAACTTAGTCCCTACATTTTATGATTCCTATGAAAATAGGTTGAACTACGGGTGGAAATCGGACGGAATGTGTCGAGAGCTGATTATCCGACTCAACTAATCAACATTAGTTGACTTCATCATAAGCTCACATCTGACTTTGTTTTTTTTGCTTTTGACTTTATTTTTCTTTTAACCTTTTTTTTCTGTTGGCAGGTTGTCGATGCTTCGATTACCTAATTAAGCATTAGTTTACTTCAATATTAGTTGGCATCTGACTTTTTTCCTTCTTTTAACTTTATTTTTCTTTTTTGTGTTATCGACAATGGTTGTCCAAACTCAAACTGAGTTATCATTAGATGACTTTCATTAGTTGACTAAATATTAGGGCTCTAATTGGTTCATGAATTTTAAAATAAGGAAAATAAAAATTCAAAGGTGATATGCCTAATTGGCCCAACCCAATGGGCCTACAAATTATTTATCTACTGGGCCACGAGCCCAGTATCGAAGACCACTATCACCGAGGCCCAATCACCTTCAAGCAAGGTTTGGGCCCGACAATCTCAACTAAGCTATAAATACACATTTGAACTCATTCCATAAGGTACGTCCTATTAACTGAGCAATACTACAATACGTATTCTCTGGACTATTTATATGATCAGCACGTCTGACTTGAGCGTTGGAGGGGTTTCCGCCGGATCAACCCCCGGCTTAGTTCATGTGTTCTATGATCGCAGGTACCTCAGGATCATCAAGTTGTGAAGCTACTGATCCGCTTTGCTCTCCCAGTGCATTTTCTACACCACCCTAGGTGAGCTATATTTTAGCATCATCAAAAGGAAAAAAGGAAAAAGAAATCAAGGACTTTTAAAATTTTAATTGTGTTTGGTTCCTAAGAAAAATAGTGATGAAAATAATTTTGAGGAAAATCATTTTCTTTAGTTTCGTTTGATTTTTAAGGGAAAATAATGGAGAAAGATACAAAGTAAAATGAAAATAAAAATGAATTATTATTCAAAAACTAAGGCTTTTGTGGATCATTTTTATTTCAATATAAATTGTAACCCAAAAAGAGATAATTTTTTTTTTAAATAAATTCTAACCCAAAAAAATGTCATGTAACAAATAAAACAAAATGTAAAATAAGATGGATATTTTATGTGTGTAACATAGATGAGAGATATATATATTTTTCTTTTGTTATTAATGCCTTTTAATTATCAAAAAAAAAGAGGAGAGAGACATAAGAGAGAGAAGAGAAGGGTGACTGAGGAGAGAGAGAAAGAGATGAGAGAGAAGAAGAATATGTAAAGAGAGATAAAATGACACATTTTCCTCATTTTTCTTAGGGAAATTCCCTTCTTTTAGTGCAATTTTTTTCCACATCTTCCATGAAATTGTTTTACATAGTATTTTACTTATCAACCAAACAAGAAAATTATTTTACATCACATTTTCAATACGTTACCTACTATTTTCCTTCAATCAATCAGACCCTAGTTGATTTCCATTAGAATTTCAGTATCAACTGAAATTTAAAATAACAAAAATTTATTGAGGTAAAAGACAAGGTTTTTTTGCTAGTGTAGTACTCCCTCCTTCTCATTTTAGGGGCTATATGACAAACACCCCCATTGAAATTTTACTTTTTGATAAATTCTTATTTGTAAATAATATTTGACATAAATTCATTGGGCCTGAAAAATCATATATGCCCCCACTAATTATTAATTAGTATAATTATTCAAATCAAAAAATTATACCCATAATCTACACCCAAATCTTCACCAAAAATTATACCCCCAAATCGCGCTTCAGATTTATGCCCAAAATAATACTCACAAATCCATTCTAAAAATCTCATCTTTATTTCTTTTCTTATTTTATTTCTTCATAAGAAATTTTTAATTTTGTTTTTAAAAAAGTTTATTTTTCATTTTTTTAATTTTTATATTTTATTTTTTATACTTCTGTTTTTCAAATTTAAATTTTAAAAAAATTGTTTTTAACAAATTGTTTTTCACTATAAACTTACCAAAACCACTATGTGATTATAGTATTCCGTTACGAAAATCCATTATAAACTTATTGAAAATCTCTATGTAATTAACAAAAACAACTATGTAATTAATGAAAACCACTCTGTAAACTAATGAAAATCACTATGTAATTAGCAAATTCCATTACAAAAATTCACTTAAAACTTATCAATTAACAAAAACCATTCTATAATTAATGAAAAACACTCTGTAATTATCGAAAATCAATATGTAGTTAACAAATTTCATTACAAATTCACTAAAAGCTTATCATTAACAGACTATGTAATTAATCAAAACCACTTTGCGTGCAAAAACTACTCTTACATTTTACTTTGAAATCAAGCATTGTGTCAAAACCAATCTTTAATTTAAAAGGATCTATCGACTAGATGCTAACAACCACATAACAATGGGGGAGAAAAACCATGTGCATTCTTATGAACAGTGATAAAACCACGACCATTATGCACTAACACAGTTTGCGTCAAAAGTACGAAAACCACTCTATATTTTCTTGAGACGAACTTCCTCCTCATGCAATCAGATTGGTATTAATGTGGAAAAAATACCAATTACGTTAAAACGGTTCTCTATAATTAAGGGACGAGAATCGTGGAATTATTTAAGGAGGTGTTGTTACTATATAATAGGAAAATATATGCAATTAATTTAATTACTGTAGAAAAAGGATGAAATAAGAAGAAGAAGATGAAATGGAAATGGAAGCTGAAAGAGAGTTTAAACAATTGAATCGTATAATCGAAGAAATCTTCTCATTAATTTATACCCCGCCTTCAACAAATCTCACCCGCAATTTCTTCAAACCCACTTTATTTTTCATCACTTTCTCTCTCTATAAACCGCATTTGGTAATCAATCAGTAGCAGTTGTTGGTGTTGGGTTTCGGGCACGCATACGCAGCGGAAAACAAAAATTCATGCGATTTAAACGACTTTAAAGCACATAAGAACATGCCCGACAAATTAAATTCAATTAATTGCGTACCTTTGCGCTTCCAGCGAAATCAAATAACAACATACATGCTAATTATTAAACCGAATTTAAATCAATTAACATGCTCGCGTTTAAACCAAATAACATGCTTGCAATGATTTAAAACGATTACACATAATCACATAAAATCATACGATAGCAAACATGGATACATAGTCTAAACGTAAACGAATCGAAACAAGGGATTCGTGTGTTTACCTCTTGAAGCGTGAGGTAGGAGCGTTTAGCAAGTCGAGATTGATACGGAAACCAATCCGTACAATCGGGGCAGCAGCGGTGCAGCGGCAGCGGCGATGAGATGGCCACGGCGGCGCGTGAGTTTCACGCGCGGACTTCCGGGGCGGCGCGTGGGGCAGCGTGCGGCTTCGGCTTGTGCGCTGCTCCTCGATTCTTCGATCTTCGATCTTCCTCCTCTCGGATTTCACCTCGTATACTTCGATCTACTAAACACGTGGCACTAGACACGTAATAGTTAAAATTAACGGAAGAAAAAGAAAGAAGGAAAGAGTACCGAAAAGGATCGGCCAATAGATGGCCGATTCCGGCGACGGAGAGGCGACAACGGCGCGGTGGTGGCCGCGGGGGGAGTGGCCGAGAGAGAGAGTGTAGCGGCTAGGGTTAGGGTTTTTTCTTGTGTGTTTGTGCAAGGCCTATAAATCAAGTATTTATAGTCCCTTGCATAAAACCCTAACGGGCTTAAGTTGGACCGGGCCCAACAGCTTAAGCTCGTTAGTTCCTTTACTTGCTCGTCTCTCTCAATTCAATGATCGGAAAATTGCAACGATTACATTTTCGGAATCATTATAACATCCTCGTCATTACGAGTGCCATCTTTCATTTTCCAACTTTCCAAAAGTGGAAACCCTAGTTCAGTGCTCTTTCTAAATTTGGAAACTTCCCGATTTAGAAAGTTCACTAACACGTTCGCCTATTCTTTTTCCTTTTCTTATTCTCATTCATAATTCCAAATTACGAATGTTGGATTCAATCGTATTGACTTCCAATCATGCAAAGATAATCTATTTTATCTCTGACCGTTTATTCAAAGATCTCATGTGCACGAGCAGTGTGACCCTCGATGGTTCAGGTGTAAGCTAGCCGTGGGCCCACAACTCTTTGTGGTCAAAACTCGTCCCTTAGAGTTACGATTAAGACGAAGCTTGTTTCACCTTAATCACCCAACGAATCAAGATTGGCGTCTAGCAACTACGCGTCATGATTCCCTAGATACAAATGAAGTGCCTGCAAGAACCTTCAGATATAGTTAACGTACAGTACGGTCCCTTCGATTCATATGTCCCGATCGAACTAAAGGCATTGGTTCATCGAGACCTCTTTATATGTTCGATGACGGTGCGATCGTTCTAAGTGTTGTAATCCTTACGTGCATGACTTAGAGAATCGAATTCTCTAATCATCACTTAGTCAGCTCTGGCCAGAGACTTAGAATGATTACAAACTTTCAGAACACACAGGACATCCAAGACTATTCTAGCGATCGAATCCCCGACTACAATGCACAGACCTCCCACTAGATTTCGGACTGCACGAACACTGGCCCTTGGGATGGTCCTCGGTGGAACTCAGGGACAGGTCACGATACAGCTGGTCCTCTAGTGAAGTCACGGTGATGTCTAGGTCATAAGGACTAATGGTGTACAACTATACCATAGATATCTCTACTCGATTATTGGGAACCACTTAGAGATTTCTAGGGTGAGGGAGTTCAGTGAACTCGTCAACTTACGAGCACCCACTTATGCATGCCGATATCACAATACCGTTTACTGATGAGATGCAGTACACATACACTAAGTGCTAGTCTTAATGGGAAAGGCCGATATCCTCATTAGTGGCGTAACCCTTCGACTAGGAACACGTTTAACAGTTATAATACTTAAGTAAATATCTCACGATCCTAACGATCAATTACTAGTACTTGTAATAAC